TCGCAGGGCTAACACACAGGGACAGACAACCAGTCACACTCACATTCACTCACACATTCACACTTAGTGGCAATTTGGATTATCCAATTAACCTATCCCCAGAAGCTGCATGTCTTTGGACGGTGGGAGGAAGCCAGAGTACCCGGAGTGAACCCACGCAAACATAGGGTTAAATAACATAAATAAATGAATAAAAATAAAAGATTTTCATATTTTTCACATTACATTATATTTACATTTTGTCTACTACATCTACTGATACTCTGCATTTATGTTTTTTAACCAATTACATGGATCAAAACCCATCACATTACTAACAGACTTACTAACACCATCCAAGAACTAAACTCGCATATTTGTCCATGCCACAGCCCTGCATACTTGTCCAAAATCAACAGTGTAGTTTATTTTCTCAGCTTGACAAACGTGCCAATTAATGCTGTTTGTGTAGCGTTTGATAAAACCTGCAGACCTAACATTACTCAGAACATGATAGGAAATAGCTAATCTAGAACTGCCTTTTAAAAGATTCGTCAGAAGAGGGACGGACTAATGTTTTGTTAGATTTAGTCTTCTTATAGGATTTGCTTTGAGTACAGAAACTACAGAATAATGTCAGGCTTATCCTTTAGCCTTAAGGCTGTGATGGGACTAACTATGATTTTATTGCATCACACAGCATTTGCATTACATCGTCACAAAGCGTATTATGTAATTCAAATGTAAATAAATGATATTTTGCACATTATGGTGCACTTTGGATACGCTGTGCTGATTAAAGGCCCTTGTTGTTTGTCTGCCATTATAAATCTTAAGGGCACTTGGTTTAAAATGTTAAACAGGTAAACATTTCTAAAATCCGCTCTCTGCTATTCTCAGCAGAGGACAGTTGGCAGCTCTACCCCGGTTGCTGTTGGGTATAAAGAACTGTTTGTTTTATCTGTTCCACACCCGATCGAGCGCCTATGATGTCCTCGAACGGCAGCCCTTGTGTTGTTTTATTTTTAGAGTTACACAGGGTTTTGACATTTCACTTGTTTGCCTCATCCTTTGTCGCATGGCGAAATCTTTCCACCATAACACAACAAAGAAAATCCCAGAGGTTGCTCAACAGATTTCTTTGTTTCTCTGAGTTTCGGAGGGGGTGGGATACGTGTTTGTTTTAACTGCAGAATGCAGGATGTGCAGAGCAAATAAAATTTACCATGAATTGGTGGGAGTTGAATAATAAAGTGTGAGAAATGAAACCATTAGCGTATCTACTGCCTGAAAGCTAATGCTGAATGGGAGCATTTTCTCTTGATGTATATGTAAATTTCAGAGCTGACAGGAAGTGTGTGTGAAATCTTCTGAGTATAAAGAGGCTGTGCAGGTCAAGCTAATAAAAATAGGAGGAATAGACTCAATACAATTTGTTCCGTTCCTGCTTTGTGAGTGCACAGAGGACAGTTCCAGTGAGAGACTACATAAGCTGCAAATACAGTATAGTGCTGATCCTACAGACTCAGGGAAGGCAAGACCCCATTTTCCTCTCACTTGACTCGACTTAATTAACCAGAATGAGTCAGAAGCAACACTCAGGATTTAAGATTTGTCCTTATGGGATTGGGGATCTCTCTCGCTTTCTCTCCCTCACTCCCTGTTTTCCCCTCTCCCTCTCTAACTCTCTGTTTATGGTTGACTTCAGTGCTAACTTCCTGCTCATTACTTTAATGATGGTTCTACTGTGAGCTTATGCTCACGAGTGCAGTTTGCTTTTTAACACTGCAGTTTGGGAATAGCAAGAAACGCACACACACACACACACATGCAGAGAAACTCATGCATACAGTGACAGAGAATCAAATGAAATCAAACTACTATGTATGCATTATGTATGTGCGTTGTTACTAAAAAGAAAAGCTCCAAAATTCAAGAATCTTTCACACTATGTATCACCATCCGACTTGCATGCTATCCGCAGTGTTCTGCGACCATACATGCTCACGTTTCCCGAGAATAAAAGAGTTAATAACAGACGGGAAAGTAAATGGGAAGAAGGGTAGAGTGCGTCAAACGTCTCTTTTTCTCTTCTGAAGTATCAGCAGAACTCCGTACATAACTGTAATACAGAGAAAGAGTCTGACAGACAGATATATCCAACCCCAGCTCTCTGCTTTTGCTTTAGATGCATTATTCATCTGTGTGCCAATTTGGAGGAACCCTCCCAATTCCCCAGCTGGCAGCAAAAAGACGAGAAGCGCGAGAGAGAGAAAGAGAGAGAAAGAGAGACAGGCAGACTAGAGAAAAAGAAGTCGCCGCAAGAATGTCAGAAAAAAAGAAAGACAGAGAAAGAGAGAGAAGAGGGAGAGGAAAACACCAGAACAAAGAATGGGTGAGACAGATGCAGTAAAGCAGGATTGGGAATGGCTCAATCTCTCAGCTGCAATGTAGTGAAACATCCAAACAGGATTTCGAATGATCCAGGGAGACTTCTCCCTACATGTTTTAATATTCCCAGCTCTGTTTGACTCGTCTGCACAGAGCAGATTAATGACGATTTCCACACTAAAGACTCTTAACCCCTTAGAAAACACATAGGAAGCAAAGAGCAGGGGCATGAGGCTCACTTCTTTTTGCCTGAAACCAAACTGCACACTATCGCTAAATCCCAGTTTCACACACGCAGCAGTGTAAATGTCAGTGCAAGCGTGCTGTCAAACATATGCAAACACTTGCTTAACTGCATGATGACACCAGAAACTCACCATTTTTTTCACAGCATGCTCCATCATCATCTCTTACTACCTTGAGTGTCTTGATAATGTCATCCCTGCACTCCCTCCCAGTAAACCCCATCACGCTGACAGCTGTGGAAGCTATCCATCCTGGGACAGCCTGCCCCAGATTTAACCCTATCTCACCCTCGCCCTCTTTTCAGGTTTGTTACCTATTATGGCAAAACACTGCCACATGAACAGAACAGATTACAGCCCAGCAGAAGATAAAATGGTCACTCACAGTAGCACCTCCTCGCCGTGATGAATGTGGGCGTGTATGAGGGGGAGGGGGAGTGGCGGGCTAACTGTGTGGGGCTGGATCAGCGGGATTGCTGTTTAATCTGCTGCTGTCTCCCCATAACGGAACACCGGGTGTTTAGACCCAACAGCTGGTTGAGTCCACCCCCAAGCCTGTGTTACTGCAGCACTAACACTTACTCTTCAAAGGTTTCCTCCTTATTATATAACCTCACTTTTATACTGTACAGCACACAGTACAGTATATGTACCATATCTGATAGGTGATCTGCCACATACGTGATCATTTCCACCGTAGTGTTATGAAACAGCATTAACCAATCGCGCTCCCGTGGAGGGCGTTGGCTTGTGCTTCTCCGCTGAAGGATCTGTCAAAATGTGGAGCTGCTCAGAGGATTCGCCTGTCAGATTTGGCCTTATTTGTCACTTTGCTGTGATTCTGCTCCCTCAGCTTTGTCATGTCACCGTTTCGACTGCTTCAGAGGGCTCCTGGGAGGTGCTCGCTGGGAGAATATATGCCAGGCGTTGTAGCTGATTTACATCAGGTCAGTCCTCTCTGAGACAGATGGAATGCTTAAGCTCTGCACAAAACACTAGTTATGATTATTTAAACAACTACGATAATCTCCAGAGCTGCTGTTACCACAATCAAACTACAGAAACAGGTCGTGTCCTATATTTAGCAACGACAGTTTATGGGAAAATATGTCAGGTTGCAGTACTATTGGAAAACTGTAATATATATATATA